GGTTTGACGCCGAGTTTTGGTGGTCATTGTGCTTTTCTTAGTAGCCCGGTGGTACCCTTTCTTCCAGTTTTTGGGGGGTTCAAGGTTCCTTTATCAAACCCTAAACCCTAAACCCTAAACCCTAAACCCTAAAGGTACCCTTCTTAACCAATCTCTTGTTGAGGGTGCTGAGGGCTTCCGCAGGACCAGCGGACTGCCCTCGAGGCAGCCAGACCCTGGGGCCGCCTAGCTGAATTTCGACTTTGGGGCTTGTAAGGGTTTGGGATTTAGGTTTCGGGTTTAGGGTTTAGGGTTTAGGGTTTAGGGTTTGGGACAATTAGGGGCTTAAGAAGGGAGAGGGGGAGCCCGGTGCAAACGATTGCTGTCGGTCGAGCAATTCATCGGCTGTTGCCCTGAACCGCATAAAACATGTAAATGGCTTGAAACCACCCTATCTGCTGGACCCTTGCTTGCCTGCAGCAATTGGAGCAAAGAACCTGGCACTGAATGCAGCAGGTTCCATGGAGCAGCACGAGGCCCTGAGATCTTTCACTTTTTTCACGTTCTGAACAATCTCGTCGAAATGATTCAGGAGCAGTTCAGGCCGTAGCTCAGGCGATGGCCAACACTACGACACACACTCTCTAAGTTTATCAGCGCACACTACTCCTTTTTTACTTGTTGTTTTTTTTTTTTTTTTTGGGGGGGGGGGGGGGGGGGGGGGGTTCCTTTACAAACCCCTTGTAAGCAAAAAAAGGGCACCCTTTATAATCCCAGGTTCCTGGGCAACCGGTTGCCTAGCTTTTCAACTCTCAGCAGACTCTAAGCCGAACACCACCCCCCCCCCTGAAACACACTGGGGCTCTCAGGACTCTACCTCGGAACTCGGTACAACGTGTGGCTTTGCTCACGGCTTGATCGCGAGTACCGCGTCTACGAGGAACCGGCACAGCATCCTGAACCCCCCAAGGTTTCAGTAAGAGCCCCTCAACACTTAGGGCTTAGAGCTTGGCAGCCCCGTGGTACCCTTGTAATTTAACCAACCCCCAAAAAGGTGCCCTTATTTCTAGCATGTTCACTGGGCTGCCCCAAGAGGGTTTAGGGTTTAGGCTCCCAAAGGTACGACAGCAGAGGTTTTTTGTTTTGTAGCCTCAGTGACACACGATGGGGGGATCTCCCTACATGTTCTGCTCTTTGGTGCATCTGACTCCAAAGCCCCAAGTCCTACCTGAAGTCCTTTCCGTACTTTGGAGGTTTCTGGGTTGCTAGAAGCAAGCTTAGAGTATGGTATAACGATACTTGCAATTCTCACTTGTGAGGGTGCGCTTGTTCAGACCCCACGAAGTACGCCCTCCACTTAACAACCAGAGCCCATGAAGCTCCAACTGTGTAAAGAATTCCCCAAAGAGCACAGTACTCCTTTAAATAAGGAATTATACCTTCAACCCTACTAAGGATCCCTACATAATTTCAGGCATATTACTTGAATTAAGGGGTATCGGGCTCCCTGGGTCCATTGAGGACTACTGGAAGAGGCCCTGGTTCAACTTCAACTCCCAGAAGCACCTCGTGGCAACAGGGGCCCTTTTTTGTTGATATAGATTATGGGGGGGGGGGGGGGGGGGGGTACTTCGGGCAGCTTGACTTTCACAGCTTGTATTGGGGAAGAAGATGGGTGCAAGCTTGCTTGGGTGTCTGAGGCTTCTGCGTACTTTCGGCCTTGGGAAACTGTTCTCCCCCTGTATTCGAACCGCTCCCCCCCCCGGCCCCGACGCCCCTAATATTGCATTGAGGGGGAAGGGGGGAGGGAAGGGGGGGACAGGGGGGATGTTCGGGCGGGGATTGGGGGTTTCAGGTTCGAAAGTTGAGGCCGATCTTAAAGTAAACTTTCGACTCTTAAGCTTTAGATATTGACCCGGTTGGCCCCACCGTCCATCCCGGACAAGGTTTTTGCTAAACCTGAAGCTTTGGGAACTGCAGTACTGTGGGACGAAATCTTGCACCACTTCTGGTCCAAAGAAAGCCCAAGCCCTATTTCTTGAATTTTGGACGGGAAGCTTTCACTGACCTGTTCCAGTGACTAAACTCTTGCCACCGCCTGGCAAGCAACGCCTGCCAATGTTCAAACGGGGCTGCAGGTTTCCGTACCCTTGAGCCTCCCCCAATCGGCCCCAACTTCAGGTATTACAACATCCTGGAGGCACCCAGTGGGAAGCTGATCGCCCAGTCAAAGCACGAAGTCGCGAGCCTGGTCACACACTGGTGTTGAGTTGGTTGCAAGGACTCCTGTACGCTATACCTACCACCTAAAACCTCCAAAGCCCCTTTCGAAATAGTCCCTATATCGTAACAGGATCATGCAATGGATGTGGATTAAGTAGGGGCTTATGGAGGTTCTGGGTCACCCTTCCGCATCCTCGAGAAGCCCCAAACAAACCAAAACAAACAACAAAACCTTCCCAAGAAAACGAAAACATAACCAACTATTCTTGTTATAGTACCCCTCCCCCCCCCCCCCCCCGCCGCCCAAAAAACATGTATCTACAAATACAAATAGCAATCTCAAAGCCATGGTAAGAATGCAACAGTCACTGTTATAGTACCCCCCCCCGGTCCAAAAAAACTGTAAATAACACTACAAATAACAATTCAAAAAGCCATGGTAAGAATTAGTTTTTTTACACGTGCGTGTAAAAAAACTAATTCTCAGCAAACTCAAAAGCCAAGGAATATGTGGACTCCCCTGAGCGCCTACTGGGTTGCCACCGTGGAGTCCCCCACGGGGCACCTCATCGCCACTCTGAGGTGCCGAGGGTTCTATAAGGGGGAGGTTTAGGGTTTAGGGTTTAGGGTTTAGGGTTTAGGGTTTAGGGTTTAGGGATCAGAGCAATGCACTGGAAGACAGGAGTGTGTGTATGTGTGTATATGGTGCCTTGTTCATGCGTATACGATTTTGCCAACAAAGACATACAATATATCTATAGACATATAAATAATAGCAAGAATAATAATATTAATAGGAATAACAATAATACTAATAAACCCAGAGAAACAAGCATGCTGCCTCGAAGGCTGAGTCCTCCACGGCCAAAGGGGTTGAGTGTTTAGCGGGCACTTGGGGTTTACGGTCTTGGGGTGTCAAAACAAGATGTTTAGTCTTTCAGGCTCCGATCGAGTCCGTAAGCCCCAAAACCTCCGGTCTCAGGGTTAAGGAGCTTTCCCGGCTGCACATTTCAGGCTAGACTGGTGGGTCCAGTGGGTTGCATAAGCCGTTTCGTATGGGAATGCTTGAAACACTCACTGGCCTGCAGGCAGGACACTCCCTGGAATTCCTGGCTCTTTTTCAGCCACCTTGCTCAATAGACTTCGAGGCGCGCAGGCCTGGGCTTTATGAACTTGAGGTTTGGGCTTTCGGTTCCTTCATCTCGAAGCAGGGCCCATAAGCTTGATAGAGCTTGCCTGAGGCAGCACTACTATGTGCTTGAGAACCACCCCCAAAAAAGATTTCGTCCTTGTTAGGGCAAGATAGGGAGCTATTATTCTTTTTTTAGCTAGGGGGTTTCTTAATAGGCAAATAGTAGAGCAGAAGCTTGCATCTCATAGCCAGGGATGTTCCCAACTCATGCCGCCCGAAGCTTTGTGCACTGAGCAGCCGAGGCCATCAGAAGTGGTGGGTGCACAACCACCGGCCCGAGATGCTTCCCTCAGAGGCCGGCAGGTGGAAGCCCGCAAGTTGGGTTGAGGGTTTAGGGTTTAGGGTTTTCTGGTTTAGGGTTTAGGGTCTTCAAGGGCTTGCCGCTTTCAATCGAAACCCCCCAACCCTCCAAGCCAACTCCAAGCCAAAAAGTCGGTGAGGGCTGAGTCTTTCAGCGTGCGCATCGAGCCCCGTGAGATCCCTCGGCCTCCTGCTAAGCTGCTATCTTCCCCGGGTGCGACACGTGGGCCTCAGCTCACTGGGCTTCCGAGGGTCTCGCAGTGTCCGCAGCCTGAGGGCGCTCCCCTGGAGCTTGGCTCGCCTTGAGTGGGTGGCGTTCAGTTTTAAGCACCAAGAGTTCCAGTCAAATTTTTACTGGTCTGCGGCGCATAGGGGGCCTTGAACATGGCTATGGAGCTACCTTGCAGGCCCCAAAATTGCTGCTTTCGACTCCAGAGTTGAGGGTTTTGCGTGCAGGTCGTGTCCTTCCTGGCGGCTGTCTATGATATCGAGCAGCTTGGTGGGACTTAAGCACCCCAACGTGCTGTAGCTCTTCAAGACGCGAACCTGCGCAGACCCTCTGAACCCAAAGCCTCACTACCCTTCAGACTGACAAAGCAGAGGGTGAACGCCTCAGTTCTCGGAAGACCTATAAAGCCTCAGGAAAGCTCGCGACAGCAAGAAGAGGAAGAAGCGATAGCCCCGCGCAGTTTGAAAGCCGAAGGCCTGTTTTTCTTTGTGGGGACTTGCAGGCTCGGAAGTTTGAGTGAGGGTTCTCAGGGCCTTCAGGCTGATGTTCGGATGTCTTTTGTGCCCTGGGCTTCTTGAACAGCATCCCCAGCCCAAGAACTCTCCTAGGCAGAGTAGAGATTCATAGGTATATTTCCAAGAGGGAGACCGCATTCCTCCAGGGGGAGCCGAGCTGAGCACCCGAAAGCTCCAGAGTGATGGGTGGCCAAGCGAGAACCAAATGGCCTTTGCAAGTGCAGGGGTTTCTGTGCGTCCCAAAGTGGGCTGTGCATGAATGCCTCCGGAACGGCACCTCGACGCCCAAGCGGGGCGTCGAGGTCCCAGCACGTTAGCCGGAAGTAGAAGCAGAATCGACGGGGATCAAGAAAAATAGAGAGGTCTGCAAAGGAAGGCATCTGGAAGGCACCATAGGCAAGGTCAGCTATCCCCAAAATTCCTGCCTGCAAGGAAGCTAGACTTACAGGTTCGAAGGGCCTCGGATACGTGGGCTCCGAAAACGAGGGCATGCGGATTTTTCGGCTTCCGGGTGTGATGGCAAGGTTCTTTGGCATGAAGGAGAGCCCGCTGACATGCGAAGGAGACCAACGAGTCCCTCGATGAGCCTGGCACCAGTGCGCATCCAAGTATTACCATAAGGGGGGGGGGGGGTTCGAGACTCGTCGCCGCATCCCTTGATCTTCTAGTCTTCTAGTCCAAAGGAAGCAGCGGAGTAGCAAGGTCTTGGGTCAATGCTTCGGAGACCTATCACAGCCACTGCTAAGTAGTTACTCTCCCATGCTGAAGACGTCAGCTGTGTCGAGGCCCTCTGCTGTCGATAAAGAGGCTCAGCCCGGGCGGGCAGGCCCGGGAAAGGGTCGAACATGCATTGCGCTAGTCTCGCCGGTGCCTTTGCATTGGATTTTGAACTGTATTTGAAGTCTAGACGATCCTAAACTCCTCCACCCGAAATCCGCGCGAGCCAGAGAGCAATCTCGGCAGGGGTCTGGGATGCTGCTGGCTCCAGAGCCTCGGCTTGGTCGGAGGAGTGATGACAACAGGCCTAAACTTTCCCAAGAAAGATCGCAGTCCACGACTGGGCTTCAGATTTGGGGTAGTTAGTTAGGTCTTGGTTTTGTGTGCTTTCGATGAGTCAAGCCTCGCGACTTGCGGCTTCAGAGTCGGGAGCAACCCCAAATTCACTTCAAGAGGTGGTGGGACCATGTGAGAGACCTCACCCCCAAAACCCTGGAACCCCTAAAGCCCTCAACCCTAAAGCTCCTAAACCCCCTCAAAACCCTCAACTTCCTAAACTCCCCCCCTCCCACCCCCAAAGCCCTCAACCCTCAACTAGTCCTCCAACATCAATCCTCAACCAAGCCCCTAAAACTCTGAGAAAAAATAAGAAGAAACCCCCCAAAAAAGGAGTCCCTCAGGTACAACTCTGAAAAAAAAAAAGGAAGAACCCCCCGCAAAAAAGTCCTTGAAATTCAAAGCTCAGGTGCAGTTCCTCCGGCTCTTTGCTGCGGGGTCTCGGCTGCGGCGCCGGGCCGAGCTCTTCGCGCTGCACTGCCTTGTCGAGGGCAAGGCGCAACCCCCCCCCCCCTTTTTTGCTTAGGGGTTTCAGGGGTTTTTGGAGTTTGGGACTTTTTGGGTGTTGGAGTTTTTGGGGTGTTGGGTTTTAGGATTTAGAGCCTTAGGGTTTTTGGGTTTTGGAGTTTTTGGGTTTTAGGGCATTAGAGTTTTAGGGAGCCAGGCGACGTAGCAGTGGTTTCAGCTTACCCTGTCGGGCTGGGATCGGAACCCAATGCTGAGAGGCTTTAGGGGCTTTTCTTGCCCGAACGCGGTTTTTGCGTTCCGCCGACACTGGGGTTCCAAGAACATTTCAATGTCCTGGGAGCTTCAGGATGCCCCAAAAGCCCGCAGCATGGCGCGCAGGTGGTGCAGGACCAGGTCGCTGCCGTCCAGCTCAAACTCGGCTGGGATGCCCGGGGCTCGGGTCCAGAAATCCAAGAGCTTAGTTGGAGTGGAGAGTCTGAGCTTGTGTCCCAGTTTTGCTTGTTTCCAGCTGGCAACGCAGAGCTTTTGAGATGTCAAGAGAAGCTTCTGTTCAGCCTTTGGGGCCAACCCTTTTCTCGAAATCGACCCTAACTCCGCAAAATGAACTGCAACGTTTCAACTACCCAAAGGAAAGGCCCCCGAGACCCGACGCTGGGCCCCTAGACATCTTCAACTTGCACTTGTTTCATGGATTTGGTGACATACTTGTATGATTATAAACGTACAGAAAACCATAAAATAAAAGCGATAAGAGCTGCAGAAACAAGCAAAATACAAGAGCATAAAATTCATCCGACGAAAGTGTCATTCAATTCTTCTTAGTCTTCTGAATAAGTATCTAAGGAATCCAGTCTGTCATATCAGCTTCCTTCAAATAGTGATGTTATCTCTGTGACTTTGCTCTTGGTTGTATACCCCCTTGCAGGCTGGAGCGAGGTCCTGGTGGACATCCGGCCTCGGCGTTGCCCTGGCCTCGGGCAGCCCGGCTTTATATGGCTTTTTCAGTGTGCGCACCCTCCCAACCAGTTCTGCACATGGCAACATGCCGCAAGGCAGCACCAGGGACACGCCAGAGCGCCCATTTTGGCAGAAAATCTAAGCCCTCCAAACGCAAAACGAAGCCGCTGCGATGCCGGCCGAGCGCTCTGCCAGAGACGGACAGTGGCGTATCTCTAGCATGAGATCCCATATGGCGTACGCTACGGGCGCAGCGGGTGCATGCTCAATCCACTCAAGGCTCCGCTCCTTCGCTCTTTTAGGATTTGCAGGTTTATAGGGGGGCTTTTTCGGGTTTAGGGTTTTATGGGGGGGGAGGGGGGTTGGAGTTTAGTGTTTCGGGTCGGCCGCTGCGGGCTAATCCCGCCGCTCATTTACTACCACCAGAAGCCCGTACCGCCTACCTTGCATGGCCACATGTCGATTTTTTCCAGTTGGGGGGGGGTGACATCGTGTGAAGTAACAATACAGACCATGGCTCAGGCGGCCTTTGTGGACCCCTTCTCAGGCGGGCAGTGCATTCGCGGATACCTTCTGGATGGCTTAGCAGGGGTAAGGACAGAGGTGTTAGTGTCCTTTCATTTCAACGCGCAGTGCTTGACCTCCTAGACTCTAAGCCCTTAAGCCCACCATTCGAGAGGTTTGGATTGGTGGAACCTTTTCGGGATGTTCTCAGCTCGGAGGCGGATGGGCGAACACCGCTTTCTCTCCACCTGCCACATGGCCTCCTTTGCCGCCTTCCTCTGCTTCAGGAGGCCGCTGTTGGTCTCAAACGGGGTTGGGGTTTTAGGGTTAGGGTTCTGGGTTTAGGGTTTAGGGTTCTGGGTTTAGGGTTTAGGGTTTAGGGTTTAGGGCGCCTCAAGAACTTGCCAAAGCTGCTGGCTGTTCCGGTTCGCCCTCACTGAACCCTCAGCAGTCACTTCACCTGCTCCAAAGGCCCCTTACCTTCTTTAAAGGGTTCTGAAGTATGGGCCCTTGGGTTTAGAGGGTACATAGGGGGTCAACTAGCCGCCTTCGGCCTTGCCCATTGCGCTGTCTCTTTGACACGTCCGCTTTTTGCATATATAAAGGTAGCTGCACTCTGCGATCTTAACATCTCCCATGTACAGTTCCTTTTTGTTTATGACTTTTATTTTTATGTGCACATATGGCCTCATATAAGCTACCATCAAGAAGAGAATCCTGGAGGGCTCCATGAAAAGCCACGGCAAATCGTCAACATTTTGTGGAGCTCTTTTCTTCCCTCTCAGTAGAGTGAGCTCTCTCATCCCCTCCCCTCCCCTCCCCCCCCTCCCTCCCCGTCTTAGCGCTAAACCCTAAACCCTAAACCCTAAACCCTAAACCCTAAACCCTAAACCCTAAACCCCAACTCCCTAATCCCGAATGCCTAAGTAGTGACAGGTCCCGGCTTGCCGCCGGCCTCGTCCCGCTGAGCCTCGGCGGCCAGCGGCGCTTGGTCTCGGCGGCCTGGCTCGTGGAGGAGGTGGGGACCAGGAGTGCGGTTTAGGGTTTAGGGTTTAGGGTTTAGGGTTTCGGGTTTAGGGTTTAGGGTTTAGGGTTTAGGGTTTAGGGTTTAGGGTGAGTAGGTGTATAGGAGTGGTGAGTAATAGCAACCAGAAGTAGCAATTCGTAGCAGTAGGACGAGTAAGAGTGGAGCAACTTCTGACAGCTACCAGCGGACATTTGAAGAGGGCGGTTTTGAATCTCCAGGCGCAGAGCTCCGGCGTTGGCCGCGGCGAGGCCGAGCAAAACGATTGGTTTATTTCAGCCGGAGCACTGCAGTTAGCCGCGAGCAATGAGAGGTAGTGGGCTGGATGGCCAGCCTGCGAGCAGCCTCGGAGGCACGTCGCCAAGCTACTCGGATGTCTTGACCCGGCGTGGGGCAACCGACTTCTTACCACTCCTCAGCAACTTCTTTAGGTGGGGGTCATGTGGGAAGTTGGTAGGGCCCTTCCGGCCAGGCATTCGTGGCGCTGCTTTCGCAGTCTGTCTACGAGTGGGCCTATGCGCAGGGCGTTCCTGCCAGGGTCCCAGAAAAGTCTTTGCACTGTTTGGGGATTGGGACGCAAGACTCATCCAGGCCTTAGGTCTCTTGCTGCGGGTTGCTGCATCTGAGGCCAACGTCTTCCTTTTGCCGCCACTCGGAGAAGCAGATTGGGAACGGGCTCGGTGAAGACTAGGTGACGAAACGTCTCTTGCGAGAGCCCGTGCCATCTTCGCCATGCGCATGGCATGCAATGCTCCTTGTTTCTTCGAAGCCCCATTCCCCCTTATTTGGCAAACCCTGAGCCCCAGAGTTAGCGTGGAGTTCCACCTTTAAAGCGTCAGGACTCTGCTCATCGTCTTTGCGGAGCTGCAATGCACGCGCATTGCGCTCATCGACGACGACTGTGAGAGGCTCTCCTGCCTCCGAGCCATGGGGCTTGGGGAGGGGGGGGGGGGCGTGGGGATTTGTGCAACGTCGGTTGGGCTCTAATTTGGGGGCTTAAGGGCGTTTCAGCGGCTTGAATTCAGGGCCGAGCTTCTAGTTTTCAGGAAGAGGAGATCGGGCGCGACAGTCGGTCAAGCATGGCCAGAACGCCACAACATGGCCTCTCACAACAAGGGATCTCAAAAAGAGCCCATGGTTTACAGAGCTGGCCCGCATGGGCTGCGGCAAATTTCTCAAATGAGACACTTGCTCCCCTGCTCGGCCCCAGTCGCCGGCTCCTTCCGCGTTCGCCAGGGTCTCAGCTTCCGAAGTCCGACACACACACACACACACACATACATATATATATATATATATATATATATATACTTTTCTATAATTACATTTTTAAATCTTATACATATGATACATGTGTATAGATAAATTTATTTGTATATGCATATCAAATTAGTATGATGAGCAAGTCAGACCCGGTGACATACGTGTAACCAGATCCCCGGCGAGTTGCTATTAACGCAATTGGGAGGCTTGGTGCGATTAGAGTGCAAAGGGATTGCAAAGACACGACTACGCCATCCAGGCTTGTTCCACCAATAGATTGGACTGGGGTCTCTGTGCCGGCCAAATGCCTGCAACAGCTGAAAGCTCTGCGAAACCCAAGCTAAGCCCCAATCCGTCCTCTTCTTTTCCAAGCCACCTGGCTCTCATACTGAATATAGGGGTCGGAATAATTGCTAATAGTTTCCCGTATCGTCCTATATAAGTGTATAATCATGACTTCCCAAAACCCTGTTCGAATTCTTAAGGCCCCCTATACTAGGCCATACTATAAGAACCCCTCAAAACCCTATTGAAAATTCTCCAGGCCCCCCTATGTTAGGCTCCGTGCCCGCGGCGCCTGGAGAGTGAGACTGCCACCGCGCGATGGCGAGCCGCCGGGGCCTCAAAAGGCCGCTTTTGATGCATCGCTTGACACATGGGTTTAGGGTTTAGGGTTTAGGGTTCAGAGTTTAGGGTTCAGGGTTTAGGGTTTAGGGTAAAAGAAGGAACCCCTATAGTAGATCCCCAAATAGTAGGATTTCCTTAGAATAAGGACCCTAAGAAGGCACCCCCTAGTTTCGGAAACCCCCCCACATCCCTGTAGAGTCCTAAAGCCCCTAAAGGCCCCAAGCGAAACACCCCCTCACAAGCTTCGAGGCTAGGTCTGGGGTTGGACCTTCTGGACCCGGCCATACCGCAGATCTGTCACCCGGCCTCATTCTTGGATGTTTGGTGGTTTTGAGGTGGGCATTTTAAGGCATGATTCCGGGGCTTGTTGGATTTTTGCTTCCGGGGAGGGCTTCGGGGATTTGTAAGTTGGAGGAAGCCCTATAAGGCATATGAGCCTTTTGGAGGCGATCCCACAGGAAGTTCAGAATTCAGGGAAACCGCCGACAGTCCACGTCATCTCTGCTCTCCTGAAGCCTCTTAGCCCTTTCAGCCATCTGGGATCTCTCAGTGAACATGGGAAGTGCGGATTGTCTTTGCGATCGAACATGGGTTTTGGAAGCCTCCCCGTTTGCCACGACACCCATGCACGCCCTGAAGCCCAAACCCCACTGCAGAGCAATATCCACCAAGCCTGTAGGGTTTAGGGTTTAGGGTTTAGGGTTTAGGGTTTAGGGTTTAGGGTTTAGGGTTTATAGATGTCTGAGCTGCTGGTTTTCTACGAGGCTCCATCGTCCCGGGTTCCATTGCCACGGCCCTGGTTGAGGTTTCTTTTAGCGCGGCTGAAGCCAGGCCATTCGAAGCCCTTTTGGTAGAAAGGAAGAGAACGCCCGAATTTCGGGAAGGTTCAGGAAGCAGACAGACGTTTGGAGTTAAGGAAACGTCCACAATTCTCCCAGGTTGAGAAGCACAACGCCACGCTCGATGACGCCGACCGCATCAAGGCGGGAACAGAGTTTCAAGCGTCAGGCGCAGCAGCCGAAAACCCATCAAACCCCGAAGCCGAAGTCCGTTTTCGGAACCTGGGACTGATGCACTGCGCTGACGTCATGCGCCCACGAAGCCTCTACGCCCTACTCTTCCTTTAAAGGTTCAAAGTGGCTTTGGAATTGAGAGCCGAGGTGGGGGACTTCATCCTGGAGGCCAAGGGCGTCCGCGGCGAGGCCGCTGAGTCCAGGGTCTTGTCGGGAGAAGGGCTTAGGGAGAGGAAGGGTCATCGAGGGGTCGGAACAAAAAGTAATGGCATTCCCTGATGGTGCCTTTACGAATTTAATATAATGCCAAACCCTACAAATGATGAAGTAACCCCTTAAGAAGTGAATCTGTGATGTCAGGGTGAGGATCTTGCCCAGGACTGCTGTGAGGTTTTTGTAGTTGCTTTCTAAGTTGAGGGGGGAGGCGGGGGGGGGGGGGGGGGGGGGGGGGGGGGGAGTTCTCCTGAGCCTGGGCTGAGCTCGTGTATATCTAGTTTTCGTTGTTTGCTCCTGCAGTTATGGAACCCCGTACCCCAAAAATGGCTCCTGACAACTCAAAAGGCTCTGAAAAATTACTTTGAGCACTGTTTCGGTGGAGCTTGCGAGAGGCGCTGGCCATCGCCGACTCGCTGGAGCAACGGGCTCAGCCCGATAAAGCTGGGGTACTTCTCAGTTTGAGCTTGGGAGGGGGGAGGTTTGTGGCAGACATATAGAGGTTTGAAGGGTGCAGGCTTGCGAATGTCCAGGTTTTGCAGTACACATGCTCCGGGAGCAGAACATCTAGCAGCCCCGGAGACACTGGGTTGTGATCTAGTGGCCAAGTTCGGCAATGGGTGCACCATGAGACCATTCGGCTCCTGCAGGTCTTCTCCCGATGGGCTGTCCCTTCTCCTGCAGCGGCCGCCGCCTCGTAGAATGCGGCTCTCAGCCAAAGCGCTGGCCCCACACGCGCAGGCACGGCACAATACGGCACAGATGTCTGCACCGCAACACTTTCCGAGTCTGCGCAAAGCCCTTCCAAGCAAGGCGCTTCAAAAAGCCCACGGCTTGGTTGCCCCCCTTCTCTCAGGAGCTCCTGTCCCTCACCTCGCTGCCTTCCAGCGCCGCTGGCCTGGAGGGGCTCACCATGCCTGGGGGGGGGGGTTTAGGGTTTGGGGCTTCGGGTTTAGGGTTGAGGGTTAGAATACCTCCGAAAGCAAAAGAAGCCCACAGATGGAGATTCCCGAGGTGTCACTCTACGCCACGCGGGACCTTGGCACGGAAGGGGCAGAGCTCAGGCGCCTGAGACCCCCCTTCATTCCTGAGGGGTGTTTTAAAGGCGCTTCTCAATGTTAGCGGTTCTCGAAGAGATACTTTATAAGGGGCTTGGGAAATTACTTTTGGTATTCCCCTTCTTGTCTCTATTAGTCTACTATCATCACCCCCCCCCCCCCCCCAAAACCCTATTCTAATCATAAAGGCCCCCTGTATTGTTACAACCCCTTTATTATCACCCTCCCCTCCCTTGAAGGCGCCACGACCGCCTCGTGGCGGCCGCGGATGCTGTGGGCGTCCGAGATGGCGCTGCCGAGGTCCGGGCGGCGCTGGAGTTGGCCCTCCGAGGCCGGGCTCCCACTGGGGACCCTGAGCATCTTCGTAGGCATTTCTCTGGGGTTTTGGGAATTTGGGGCCCACAACCTCATGCCATTGTCAGTGGCCCGCGTTGGGAAGGATCCAAAGACTCCTTCCTTGCCTGGTGCCTTGAGGAAGGACTTGTTTTGTCAGGAAAAGGCAAGGGTGCACTTAGACGGTATGGAGTGGAGATGTACCCGGGCTTTGAGCGTTCCAGCTCAAGAAGGTGCTCTCTGCAATCGTAGCCATGGGAAACTGCCACTGCAACAGCGGTGATCAGCAGCATGACATGGTCATGGGTTCCCCGCGGAACCGGATGCATCTTCGGAAGATCCAAGTGCCGCACATACCCACAGTCGCGCCGCCTGAGCAGCCGGACTTCAAGGGGACTGCGAAAGCCTCTGCACCACAAGCAGAGGGCCTCTTCGCAGATCCCGAGTTTCCGGCCACAGACGAAAGCTTGGGTGGCATCACTGGTGACCAAGCAAATCCTCAGGTGGCGGAGTACCTGGCAGCTCTGCCTGCAGTTTAGAGAGGGTCGAGTCTCACCTGCAAAGGATGAAGAAGCTTTTTCACATCCCAGCCCTCTTAGCCTTTGAGGTCGAGATGATGAAGCTTGTCGTCCCGGGTTGGGTGCGACCACACCAGATGATCGGCAAGAAGTCAAGCAACTACAGGCTCTTTGCGACGGAGGGGGAGCCCTGCCTTTTCAAGCATGTCTCGCCAAGGGATATTCGGCAGGGCCACTTGGAGCATTGGCGGAGGGACCTTTATGATAGACTCTTTCCGGGTTCTTATAGAAGATGCGCTCTGTTTTCATATACATGTTTGTTTACAAAAAGGTCCCATAGCTTTGATCAACCCCCGCATGTCAGTGCGTGTCGAGAGAAGCTTGCCGAGAGTGTGAGGAAACCTCCGTCGCATGCGCGCGTTTCCTTGCCGAGGTTACCTTGGAGACTGCTGGCTTGTCTCTTCCTTTGCATCCATTGCCGAGTATCCGGACCGCGTCCGGTCGCTCTTCAAGCAGCACGAGCTGACAGCCGACGGCCGATACGATGTCCGCCTCTACGACCCTCTAGCAGAGGAGTGGAAGGTCGTGACCATTGATGACCGGCTGCCATACTGGCAGAGGCCTGGCAAGCACGGCGACCTCTGCTTCGCCAAGCCCACGAAGGAGAACGAGTTTTGGACCTGCTTGCTTGAGAAAGCTGTGGCCAAGTTTGTGAAGTCCTACCATAGGATCGACGGTGGCTTTGAATCTGTGGCCCTGGAGATGCTGACAGGCCAGTTTTGGGGTGGATCTTGAGTTGATTTCCTGGGTTCAATTTAGGGTTTAAGGTATAGGGTTTAGGGTTTAGGGTTTAGGGTTTAGGGTTTAGGGTTCAAAGTTGTTTGTCCTCAGCAGGCAAGCCCTCCCTCAACATTCAAGTGAGCGCCTTCGAGGGCGGCATGCACTCGCCCTACGTGACTGGGCTTGCAATGCATATGGGAAGCTTAGGGTTCTGTGGCGTTCAGATTTTGAAAACCCCGACTCGCCCTGAACGTCATTTCACGCCCGCACACAACTGCTATTCTTGAGTTCTGCAGCCGTGAGCACCTAGTGTGTGGGAAATCATGGACCCCCATGTCCGAAAACGCGCCCGCCTAAGGTTCTCATCAGTGGGAAAGATGAGAGCTCGGCAAAGCACGCCACAGACACCCGGCGCAGGATGAGCTAAGACAGGTTCGCAAAGAAAGGTCTCAGACGAAGTGCCGGCTTTGCCTGGCATCCCGTGGGTGTTTCCTAGGTATGGAAGGGGAGCCTTATTCTAGGAACTCCTTTTCTTGGAAAGCCCTGAGGTCTACATGCGAATGCAAAGCTTCGACGCCAACTGGGGCTACTGGGGCCAAGATGCGTCCGTCATGTGCGAGGGCCAGCTAGAAGCTTGGACCAACGAGGTTTTGTTTGCTTTGCTGTCCCAACTCTCGCAGCCCAAATTGCCTGACAGATAGCATCCACAAAAGACGTGTCGCAGCGGACCCACCCTCCAGACGAAAAGAAAAAAAAGAATATACTGCCCTCAGGAGCTCTCGGATGACTGGCTTTGGAGCAAGCTTTGTGCGTGGAATGAAGAGGGCTACAGCCTGTGCCGAGCACTCAGGGCGGAGTGGGAGGAGTGGCATGGGAGCTTGCGGTATGCTGGGAGTCTTGGGTTAGGCTGCTTCGTGTCATCGAAGATTCAACAGGGGTTTGTCTGCAAATGGCGAAGAACGTCAGCCTGCCCATGCCGAACTCGCAACGAGACCTGCAGCAAAGAGAACCTCATGTCAAGCCCTGAACGCTAGACCCTAATCCCGTCCTGGCTAAAATCCCCAGAACAAATCGACAGCCCCGACCTCTGAGGCTGCGGCACACGCCAGGACTACAAGGCAAGGAACAAGACGCGCACTCAAGCATCTGCTAGCACTATGACTGGTTCTGGGGCGTTTTTGATGTTCGGGAAATCTAGAAGGGTGGCCTTTAAGGCCGGATTTGCACCGATGCCGAGAAAGAAGCAAGAGGAACACAGCACTTGAAGCATCCTCTCAGAACAAAGCCCTTCACGTTGCAGCCATGTAAGACTCTTCAGCCTGACGAATCGTCGACCCACACACCCCCATTGCCTCTGCGGGAAGGGCGAGCTTAAGACATCCTAAGCCCTGAACTCATGAAGTCGCTTGTCGCAAGGGTATCCTGGCGGGCCATGCCTACACACTTCTCCACCTGGTGGAGGCTTGATGCCAGATTTCTGAGGGCAAGGGTTTGTTTTTTGTCTCCTGGTCGCTTCTGACTACGGGCGGTGGATGGGCTTCCGTCGTGCATGGTACACATGAAAGTCTCCGCCAGTCCAGCATGCTGCCCTGTCTTGTGCGCAACCGTAATCGAGGTGGCCTTCGCGTGAGATTCCCGCTGTGGATTCTGGTGTACGAAAAGGAGAGTTGCTACATGCATACATACATATGTATATATATATACACATCCCTGCAGACTTGCAGGTGCCGATTGAGAGGCAAGGGCAGTCGTCGGTGCTTCGACTGCTGCACGTCCCGCGGCTGGAGGTCAAAGTCCTTTACATAGGGTGTTTCGGAAGTTTGGGCAAGAAGTTTCAGGCTTCAGGGTTCCGTGTGTCGACACATGTTGAAAGCGATAGGCGCCCATGTGCTCTCTTCACTAAGATCCGGAACCCCCATGCCACCAACGAGTGGTTCGGGCGCTTCCACGATGACGACTGGGAGACCTGGAACGCGTATCCAGAGGTGCGCACCCAGCTTTGGAGCCTCAGTGCTCTCTGGGCACGCCCTGAACCCGAAACTTCCCAAGGCACACGTCTCCCTCGCTTGCAAGTAACTCTGAGAGTCTTCAAAACTGCTGTTGAGGCCCTGAAAGCCACAGGACACAAAGTTGGAATCAAGGACAGGGCGCTTTCGGCTTGCAAGAGAACTGGAAGACTAGGTAAAAACCCCTTCGGTCTATAGGACCTTGCCCTTAAACACAACTCCAAAGATGTGAGGGGCGTGTTTTGGATCGGCTTTCTCCACCCTTCAAGAAACGTAGCAACTCTGGGCTTCAACCTGCAGAAGAATCACTCCGAAATTGTTTCGCAATGGAGCCCTGAGCCCCTTAAATACGGCCACAAGGCTTCAAACTCGAAAGCAGGAGTCGACGGCCTATGGTCTAAACCGTGAGAGATCTCAGAAGTGCGAGAGAGGGCACGGGAGATGGAGCAAGGGATATTGAGACCCTGTTTTAAGGCCGCAAAAGAGCCTAAAGTCTTACACACACCTGCCTCCAGCCCAAGGCCGTCGGATTTAGGGTTTAGGGTTTAGGGTTTAAGGTTTAGGGTTTTCGGCTGCTCTGTAGGACAATGGGGTCTTCTGGATGCCCTGGGACGAGTTCAAGGCAGGCTATGCTGATGTCGCCGTGAACTTCGACAAGAGACTTCGCTTTTGAATGGTTTAGGGTTTAGGGTTTAGGGTTTGGGGTTTGGGGTTTAGGGTTTAGGGTTTAGGGCTCCCATATTTTTGGCCAGGCCAGCCATAAGTAGAGATTCAGCGAAAGATTGGTTTCTGGATGCTTCGGCCACACGTCTTGTCCCACAACCTTCAACCCGAAGAGGCAGACCCACCTCAAACCCTAAGGCCCCAACTCATAGCCCAGGCAAGACAAAGGAAGTCGCTACACTGACGAGTCCCCAAAAGCGGTGGCGGAGCACCAGAAGCTTGCACCGCAGTTCGTCGGGTCTGTTTCATGCTCATGGACTTCTTATGGGGCCAATATGGGGTTTACGATTATCAGGACCCCTAATACAAACTCCCAAATAGCAGGATCCCCTTACACTAAGGACCCCAATGAGGTACCCCTAATATGGTAAACCCCCATACGCTCTATGCAGCTTGTGACCGATGTTACTAGGCTTTTCTGAGAGCATTGCTACGGCCTTTCCCTGATTCATCGGGACTTGGCTGTTTCGGGCAGCGAAGGTTTAGGCCATTGAGTCATATTCTTTAAGAGTTTCGGCGGCTGCTTGAGCTTCAAGAATTCAACGGGAAGTGCCTCTGCACCACAGCTTCATGTGATCCGACAGCATTGAGTGGTGTGCAGACGACGAGCACAGGATATGCGTACGGATGCAAGAAACCTTGGACCCATTCCATTCCAGCCACCACGAATCACAAGCACCCAACAAAAGACCCAAGCGATTGTTTGCCCCTCCCCCCGATATATATTCTCCGGTCGTAGAGTTGGAAAAAGCATTTCAACATTTAGGCCCCCTTAAGCGCTTTTGCACACCGACCCTAAGCCCCAAACCGTAGCTCAAACTCAAACCCCCCTCCCACAAACCTTAAACCCAACAGCCTGCACCCTGAGAGCCCCCATGTTTTTAACACAGGCCAACACAATGTATGTAGCTTCTGTTTCTCTATTTACCTATAAAACTTATTGAAGAATGGACAGGCCACAAACCCTGTAAGCCCTGAATATCGAAGAGCCCCAGACCATAACCCTTAAACTTTACACCCCGGGTACCTCCAAACCCCTAACCCCCGAAAGTACCACAAACTCTGAAACCCCCTAGCTAAAACCCCCAAGCCGACTGAGGAAGGTGGTCTGGGGCCAGGTCGGCTACCAGCAACTTGCAGAGCAGTTTAAGGGTGGGGTGCCATCGCGACATAAATCGGAGAGAGGGGGGTGCATACATGCAACGTCCGAGGAAATGGCTGGGGCTTTAATGCCCGTCCTGGCAGATGCTGGCTAAGATGGTGCGTGGGCGCTTCATCATGTTGGGCATCCTCGTGGTAGATGTGCGAAGTTCAGTGAAGAGCCGTTTTAGTCAAAATCTGTGCGAACCACGAGAAGGACGTTGCCCTTGCTCCTGAAGGGAAGCAAAAGGAACGTCCATGACAAATCGTGTCCCGGAAGGTGCTTCTCGATATCTCGTGCGAATAAAAACAGGCTCATTGCCCATGCAGAAGAAACAATACCAGATGCTCCCCATATACTAGAATATAACCTATAATGGGAGTACTTAACATTAGGGTTAATCTTAGAAAAAAGACATGGCCATCTCGAGAATGTCAGCAGGGCCTTCCTGGACGTGCTTTTGCCAGTCGCCTGGGTGGATTTCATGAGAAATGTTGTTCACCTGGAAGAGACGATGCTTGCAACCTCACCCTCGCGAAGAGAAAGCCAGGACAAAACAAGGAAGCCCAGCAGATCCATTTCTTTCTAGAAGACTCCGAGGCTGTCTTGTCATTGCTGCACAAGAGAGACTCATCGCTGCTTGAAGACAGGATGTTCGCGGCGCTGTTTCGGTGAATTCTGCAAGCTTTTGTGCACACATCGTTTGCACACATCCTCAGGCTCAGAGCCTTTCTACATCTCCGTGGTCCGGCCGGGCATTGAGGGCAACTAGTCAAGAACCATCGCGCTGAGGCGAAGTTGCAAGATGACCATTCAGTTGCGCACTTCTGCTGCATCTCAGGGCATGCTCGCGATTCCCTAGCACACAAGGTTTCATGCCAGATGCCAAAGGCGCCCCATGCCCTCCTCGCTGTCTGTGTGAGTTTGGCGGGCACGCGCAGCTCTACCCTGGGCTTTAATTCACTCACCATGGAGATGACACATGCAGAGCAGATTGCTTGCATAGTCAGGAAAGCTTACATGTTGAGCTCGTCCCTAATCCCACCCCAAGACCAATACCGACAAGCAGCCGACGCCGTCTCGATGAGCTTCCACCCCCGCTGAAGAAGCAACAACGTGTACACAATCCCACTTCAATTGAAGTGCCACTCGCCAACTGGCAGACGGGCTTTTGACCTGCCATGAAGCGGCGCGTGAACACTCTTGCATCCACAACAACCACAAAGAAGCGCTTTGGTCGGCATTCTATGTCAGCCCTCTGCGTTCTTGCGTTCTTTTTTCGGAGATGTATGGAGCCAGCTACACCCGCTGTCCTGACGTATGTCGACCCAAGACCTCCACATGATCATGAGAGAGGCACAGAGTTTCTCAGATTGAGAGGCTTTTGAAGTCTAAAAGAACATCGATTTCGGGGCTGGGATCTCTTGAATAGGATGCTGATTGAAATTGTGGTCCAGTAGCTTTCACCCCAAATAAGAGTACAATAACGAAAGAACCAAGAACTTGCCCCAAAACCCTCTGAAGCAAACGTCTTCCGAGGCGGCGCGACTGGAAGGAGGCTGAGGAGGAGGAGGACGGTCTGCGGGTCACCACCCCACTAAGCCCCAAACCCCAATGTCTGAGCACATAAACTGCAAACAATAACATCCCCAAACCTAAAAAGCCCAAATCCGGTCCGACTTGGGCGTGTATCGATTCGCCTCTGGCAATCATGTGGGAAAGTTTGGCCTTCTTTGGCTTTGTCTTTGGCTTTGTGATCCTCTTTCCTGCTATGAGAGGGCCAACTCGTAGCCCCTAACGGCGAAAGCGTGCGAAACAGGACCCATTGCCCCCGGCATGGGGCGTGGACATGACGCTCCATTCCCCCTATACCCTGACCCTCGTCAGCTGAACCTCGAAGGCCAACAAACCCCCCTTTGACAGCGACCTTGCCATTCCTCGAACCCTGAAGTTCTGAAGGATGGCGCTGAGGCAGGGCCACTGCCAGACAGCGACGACGAACCCAAGGCTGAGAACTCCAAGCCTGAGGAAACGGAGGGAAACCGGGTAGGGGGAAAGGATGGCAAAGAGGGCGAGTTTCGAGAGGATCCGGAGTGCCTTCTGCAGATGTTGAGGGCTCATGGACTTCGGTGCCAGGGAAGGGTTAAGGATTGGCATCCCCTGATGTCGAAGTCACCTCTGCTGACCCTCCTTCCACTTCCTGCCTCAAATGCAACCTGAGCAACCCTAAACCTTGAAGCGCTCGCACCCCAAAACTTCGTTGGCTCCCGCTCTCCCTCACCATTTCAGAGGAAAAGACGGCAGCAAAAGCCGCGACAGGCGATGTGCAAGCGTAGCTTCGGATTTCGGGCTTTGCGGGCGCGGGGGATGGGTTTGATTGGCTAACCACTACAAGGAGATTCCATGAGATTCCTACCTCTCATACTTCTCAGAAGAAGTTCGTTGCCCCTGCAGGTATTCCAAACCCGGTTGTTTGGTTCGAGATCTCAGCAGCTCGGAGATGGAAAGACTCAAAACTACCATATCCCCCTTGGGAATATAAGACCCAAGAGGATATTAAATTTTAAACATATTATGTTTATTAAGGTTCTACGGGAAGTGTAGACTAAGGACTAAGGGTTTAATTGCTTTTGGAGGCTACACAGAAAGCCACAGGAAGTCCTAAAAGACAAGCTGCAGAAGCACATTCTAAAGCACGGCAGCCGAAGCACGCCAAGCTGCGTCCCTTCAAAGGCTGTTCAACGGATTTGGGGTTTTAGTAGGGATGTTCGGGTCTAGGATGCAGAATCCCCCAGAAACCCGCGATTCGAGGTTGCTGACAAGCCCCGCGGCCGCTTACATTTTGAGCCTTGGGCTCCAATGTGTCACTGGTTGCGTATGTCAGTAGCCCCTAAACCCTAAACCCTAAACCCTAAAGATCCCCCTTGCAACATTCTTACTCTTCTCTCTTGCTCAGCTGGTTTCGGGACATTGCGGTTGCATTGCGTGGTTCTTGCGCTTGCGAGATGTTTGTGCCGCTTGAGGAGCTCTTCCGGGATCTGCTGCCCGTGGCAGCGGAGAACTTCCGGAAACTCTGTGCAGGCTATGCTGATGATGCTCGCCTGCAGTGAGGTCATCCAAGTTTTCAGAAAAGGTCTTGTCACGGGACCTTGCAGTACTGCATGCAGTAGTTCATGTTTCTCGTTGACACTCTCCTTTGCTGAGGATGGTGGGAAGAAGATCAGCTATGCGACTTGTCTCCAACTTTAGAGGTCTTCATTTCTTGTGGGCTCAAATCGAGTCTGATGCCGCAGCCTAGGCGAAAACATTCTTCGATCTCGTGCACACCAAGACTGTCGCCACAGGTGGAGACATCGACGAAGCTCGGCATCGCAGCAGTGAACAATTTCTTCCCCAAGCCCTCAACCCTCTGAATCGTAAAAGGGTTTCACCTTGCTCTTGGTGTGAGGCCAGCGTACAGCTCGAGGGGATCGAGCAAAGCGGCCCTCTAAGGCACGCGAAGGCTGGGCCGGCGAAAATGGGTTAGGACTCGGCCGCTAGCCAAGCTTCGGGTTTAGGGTTGGGATCTTAAAATGGGCCAAGGGTTTGGGGTCAGCTTGCGCTTCTTGAGGGTTGATGTGATCATGGTGTAAGCGCAGCATACCACCGGATCAGAACCGGGCAAGAACAGATCACGCCGCCTGCTCAGTTCTGCTGGATTGCACGTACTTTGTTTCAGAAACATCTGTCAAGATGATCATGCCGAGCGCTGGCATGTTGTGTGCATAGACTTTCTAAATTAAAAGTGTGTGCCACATGCACAGCAGCTTGATCCGAATGTGAACAGGCCGGTTTGCTGACTATGCCAATCGGCAATCTGAGTTCCTTCGACCCGCGCTTTCAGATCACTCTCGGTGCCTTACCTGGACATGTAAGATCGTTGGGCTCCGCCCGAGTTTTGCATGCCTATAGTGCCGATTGGTCTCTGTGGCGGTGCCAGTTAGTCTCAGCTGTCATCAGCTACAGGTCCTACTCCGAACCTTGATGGCTGCTCGACCCGAAACGGAAACACCGTGCCTCCGATTCTCTTTGCTGTTTCCTATTTTGGCACAATGTTTCAAGCCTCTAAAGCGACAACTCTCTATTGATGCAAACATGGACAGCCGAGGCAAGCAAGTCATCTTCGGACAACTGCTGGCATCACCAGGTCAGACGCACTCTTTCTTCGCAGCCCAATTGTTTTTGGATTAGGACAGCAGCACAATGACACCAGCACCATTTCTTGTGCATGCGAGGTGCTGCGCTGCATCCACTTCACTGGGTAGAGGCCAGGGTGCCCCAAGACTGACACAGTGGCCACGACCAGCATAAACCTGCCGCACAAGCCCAAACCCCGAACGACTGCGTGATCGAGCATGAATTAGCTGCATGCAGCCCCTGAAACGGCCACACTCTGACCAGATGAAGTTTGGAGTTCGGATGCTTTTGAGTGTACGGCTTCAGCAAGCCTCTTAGAATTGCCCAGCTTCAGGTTCAAGGTTGCCCAATCATCTCCGGGATCGCCACTGAATGTACATTACGGTTCTTCCACGGCGGCCGGCAAAGTCACGCAAGCTAGGGTAGCGCGGAGAGTCTGTTGTGTTTCTGTTTGTTTCAGCAGCTTGGGGCACTGGACTGTCATAGGTAAGCAATGAATGGCAAGCTTAAACCCTAAACCCTTAACCCAACACCCCCTAGCTGTCGTTGGAAAGGGGCGTAACAAGTCTATCAGGTACAGTGTACAGAGCACCTAAATGAAACGGTCGTAACAGCAACAGGGCGCTGAGCTTCGTGCTCTGGGCTTATGGGTCATGCCTGCAAAAGCTGGCCTAAATATTGCCGACTGACAGGTCTCGTGTGATTATAAGCCCTTCAACTGGACAATTGAAAAACTTGGGTAGAGCGAACCACACTGCACCACATGATGCGCAGTTGGCCAGCCTTCTTCACAGGCTGTGAGCACCTCTACCGGCACACCCAGCACTTGGGCATCAATTTGTTTTCGCTCCAAGCCGTGCTTGTTACGCGGGGTGCCAACCTCGACCTACATCCTTCAAGCCCTTCAATTCCTAGCTTTCAAAGCATGGGACACGTAAATTCCTCATCGGAATCCCTTGAATGTCGGTCAACATTCTCAGGAGAGGAGGTGCAAGTCGAAGCTTGCGGCGAGTGCACCACGGAGGAGTGCCAGGCAAACGGGTCGGAACCCAGCGATGCAAGGTTTTCAGGGATTTTGGGTCTGGACTCTGCAGCAGCCCACGCAGTGCTGCACAGCAAATGAGCGAGAGTGCAGCGCCAGAAACCTCAAGGAGACTTCCTTTCCAAAGGCAGCCTCTCCCCAAAAGGTGCAGAATTTGATGAAAACACCGCCACCGAAACCCAAGACCATTGACAGGTTCTTCTCGGAGCGATGGTCATGGCAGCGCAGGCAACTCTCTCCGACCACGCGTAATATTTTTGCAGTTTCGCAGTGTGGTGGCTTCCTGTGGTGGTTTCCTAACCTCAGTCGCTGCTGGCATGAGGTTGCATGGTTATTGTCTGTTGTTTTGTTGGCGTAAATTTTCTTGTATCTCCAGACCGATTGTAAGGGCTTGAACCCTCTGGAGGTGGACCGAACGTCAGAAAGTCAAGCGGACCGCTATGGCCGATCAGGCGAGCAAACGATAGATTTGGTTGGATTCGGATTTGGCTGGTTCGGTTGACCCTTGGGCTCGAAGCTCTCTTGCAGGCCTCTTGCATGGCGAGTTGGAAGACGCCTCGGCTTCAGCAACTGCGAACATTCAAGATCGCACGTCACAATAACATAGTATGTTTAAGTGTGTTCGAGCTCCTGCTCCAAGGCAGTGACAAGCGATAACTTGTCCCAAGTTCTGGAATTGACTGACACTTGGAGCGCAATGCGGAGTTCTCGATTGTGGGCTGGATCGAAGCAACTGTGGGCTGTCCACAATGAAACAAACTTGTTGCAAGCCGAGGAAGATCTGCTGGGACATCTTGAGTGGGCATGCAAGCGCACTATGGCTGATAGCGAGCGTGACCGATGCTTGGCAAAACTGGTGCCAGCGAAGGATTTCAAACCAGCATTGCTTTCGATGGAACTGACCACTACACCGGGCGTGTCTCCCGGAAAGGTGTGACAAGACGAGAAGTTGTTTTTCATGTCCACGGCTCAGGTAAAGCAGGCCTGCTCGAAGTGAAGTTGAAGCACCTTGCCTAAAGGTGTTTGGTTAAAGCCCTAAGGGCTCACAGAGTAGACCCTCAGCTGAAACCGAAATCCTTCTCTAAGTCCTAAACCCTAGACCCTAAACCCTAAATGCAAAACCCTAACTGCACCTTCTACAAGGCCATGAAAGGATTACACAGAGTACTGAATGCTGACCCCGAAGCTCACAAAACAGGAACTGCTAGGTTTAGGGTTTGGGTTTAGGGCCAAGCAAGAATGCCTCACATGGCTCGTGGACTCACCAGCCTGCCTGGGAGATTCGTTTTCATCGTCGTCCTTGTGGGCCACATGAGCCCTAACAGGGTTGGGGTCTGTCGTGCATATACCCTAAGGGATTAGGCCCGCCAAGGTTGTCATGGGGTACAATGCGGCCCCCATACCACATGCATGACACATGTCGTGATTTCAAGGCACTTTCTCGGGCAGCGACAAGGGATCCAAAGCTGTTTTTCCAGAAGAGGAACCCGAGTTGCTGTGAATGCAGTTGTCAGAATTGTCCGACCAAGGTCGCTGATGGCAGCCTTGCGCAAAGTGGCATTCAAAGCAGGCGCTCACTTTGGCAACCAATTTGTTAGACATTTGGCATGCTGTGAGTTGAGCAAGTTACCTTCTGGCAGGAGAAGTAAATGGATTTGAAAATAGACTGGCCTTGGATGCCAAAGGCCAGCTTGGCCGTGCCAAAGATTTGGTGACTCGAACGCATTGCAAGTTCATTATTGAGGAGATCATTGCTTGCTTCTTCTCTTGTGAGCCTCGTTTGCTGAGGAGCAATCACTGCTGCGTGTGTATTAGCCGACAAGGTCAGCACAAGGCAGGCAAAAAATGAAGTTTGCACTGGCATGTGCACAGCTCATTTTGAAAGTTTTGATTGGCTGGGGGATATCTTCGAGCTCGTCATGGTAGAGTTATCATGTGAAATTTATGACCGGTATCGAGACTTCTGAGAACTTATGATAAGATCAGAGACATTAGATGAGAAAGGATCTCACCAAAGGCATTAATTACTCAAAGCCTCTCGACCTAGTTGGAAAATGATGAAGTCAAGATGTTCGAGGGCGTGAGGCTTCACGACCTCGGCGAAGTGCACTCAATGCATGTTATCTTTGTTTACGTTTGTCATGTGGCTGAGAGTTTCAGCCTGCAGCGCTTGGATGAGAACCGCGATTGACTTCTTCACGTCCTGGCACTTGACAACGTTTATCCCAAAGCCGTGCAGTGGCAGTTCAGGGTTGCCTCTAAATTGTCCCCTTGGACATGGCAAACCCATGATAACAGCAGCCCGTTTCGGTTCAAAGGCTGGCATGCCATTCCACTGACTCTGGAAGCTCATCTGCTCCCCATACTGCAGGCCAAAGCGTCCCAAGCAATGCCAAAACCTTCAACCCAGGTTTAGGGTTAATCCTACACCACAAACCCTTGATCTCCATCCACCACAAGGAGAACCACAAGTCCCTCAGCAAACCCAAAATGTCACGACTTGCTTCCAAGATTGAGTCAAAGTAGCCACATCCTCGCCCGAGGGGAAGCAGGCAAGGGCAGGGATCCTTTTTCGGGGGTTGAACACGATCTCGGAGTAGGTGTATACAGATATATGCATACGGCGGTACGGCGGTGTAACCGTACCTGGTTTTCCTTACTTATACGGCTTGGGGTGAGGGGGGGGATGGTTTACTGGCATGTCCTTCTTACTGTTACCGACGCTCTGTTAACGCGCCGACGACGCCCCGGCCACATCGGTATTGACAGTGTTTTCGACGATGATTCCGTACATGTTGCCAGTCCGTGCGACTCCCCAGAGCATCCATGCCCGCACGATGATTCCGTACATGTTGCCAGTCCGTGCGATTCCCCAAAGCATCCATGCCCGCACGATGATTCCGTACATGTTGCCAGTCTGTGCGATTCCCCAGAGCATCCATGCCCGCACGATGATTCCGTACATGTTGCCAGTCCGTGCGATTCCCCAAAGCATCCATGCCCGCACGATGATTCCGTACATGTTGCCAGTCCGTGCGATTCCCCAAAGCATCCATGCCCGCACGATGATTCCGTACATGTTGCCAGTCCGTGCGATTCCCCAAAGCATCCATGCCCGCACGATGATTCCGTACATGTTGCCAGTCCGTGCGATTCCCCAAAGCATCCATGCCCGCACGATGATTCCGTACATGTTGCCAGTCTATGCGATTCCCCAGAGCATCCATGCCCGCACGATGATTCCGTACATGTTGCCAGTCCGTGCGATTCCCCAGAGCATCCATGCCCGCACGATGATTCCGTACATGTTGCCAGTCTGTGCGATTTCCCAGAGCATCCATGCCCGCACGATGCAAAGCCGTTGCAAAGCTTTAACTGTTGCCTCCGGACCGCAGGCCCAAGAGAAAAGTCGCATGGCATTGCTCTGCAAGCCCAAACAACAGCACGACGCCTTTTTTAGTAAAAACCCAACGATTCGCACCGATGACCTCCAAAATCGGCCTTATTTAACTGTCAACATAAGCATTTCACCTAGGCGAAAAGCTAACTTGTACTAAATATAGGGTACGATTTCAACGGCGGCGGGTATATGCATATGTAGTTGTGCCCCGGCGGAAATGACATCGGAACTACAAAAGCGATTCCTGTGCTTCCATGTCGTAAGGCCTCTTGTGCAGAAAGGACACATGCACCCCAGGAAAGAAATTTCCACTTTCAAGAAAGAAATGTCGCCTGTGCCTTGTCCGTTTTTTCTGCCGGGATTATTTGCTGGCATCTTGCGATGCAGTTTGCAAAGCACACGTGCAGAGAGCACAGGCTTGGATGCTACCGGGTTGGGTGCTCCGATTCTGTCAGGCAAATCTTCATGGGCTGTTGTGCCGCGGTCCCAGCTTGCTGTTTGCAGAGTACGCACCTGCAGGTAGCCATGTGCGTTGATCCTAATTATGATGGAGATTTGAATATTGCAACGGCGTCTATAGAACGAGATCGCAGGGTCTATAAGATTTATAGGGCTTAGGATTAAGGCTTATGGGGCTTGGTTATTAAGGATTGAGAATGTCGTACTTGAAAGAATCTAAAACGAAGCTTCCCAAAAGCGTCCCAAACACATCTATTCCGACGTGTATCTGGACACGAAGGTTTCTGCGACAGGCCATCGCTCTAACATATCACGTAGTGAAGCTACCCTAAACCCTTGCTAAATCCTAAGTCCTAAGTCAAGAAGTAGGGATGATGGCGGACCAAGAATCGATTGTCAAGTGAGATACGGCGCAAATACTTATGTCCAAAAGCCTCAAATCCAAGTAAGTCGGAGAAGCGTGCGTTCCCGAATAAAGCTTCCAGCCATGGATCATACAAACCAAGGCAAAGCGCGACTCAAGGCATCCCATCGTTGGAGGGAAAAGACCCGCCACCGCCCCGAATTACAAGGATGGGATGCCCAAGTGTCCAAGAACAACGCGTTCCCAAAAGAACCATGCACCCTCAAAAAAATTAGAGGCGACGTACTAGACCCATCATCGCGGAAGCAGCCGCAAGCAATTCGGGACGTAAGCTGGCGGGACCTTCGATGGGAAACACTCCTGGCAACGGACAGATATCAATTGACTAAGTAGACATCTAACGAGAAGAAAGGAACGTTTAAGCCCTAAGTCCGACACCCTACGTCCGTATGGAATTACATCTTTATATGGTTGAGAATCTGTAGTCCGACCCAGCACCCAAATTAATACCGCACCCCTAATAAACCTAAAATCTACAGCGGGGTTTCGGCAGATTTCGGAGGGTATTGAAAATTTTGAGATTCAAATATTAGGGGGTTAGGATTTAAACATAAAGTCGGCATTGTGATCTTTACATTTTCGGGGACTTAAGTTTATAAATTGATAAAGGGACTTCGAATGAAATATTATTATCATCATTTAGACAAATATAATTGCTTTGGAATATTAAGATTTTTCTTCTATATCTGGGATACAATTACTTTTGATTTTCGAACAAAATTATGGTAATATCAGAGAAAATTTAGAATTTAAAAATTTCTTTTTCTAACATCTTCATGATAGAAACATCTCTATAAAAGGCTACGGGCTCGACTCTTATTTTCCCTCTGCGGTCGCTTTGTGGGATGTCTCGCCTCTTCTTCCGGTCGATTTGGCTGCTTGGGAGGGCTTTAAAGAGGGATCTTGAAAATTCTGGGAGTTTTTTAACGTTTATCATCTGAAAATCTTGGGAATTTGGGGAATCACTTGGAGTTGAAAATTCCCTTAATTTAGGAATCATTCGGATTGAGGTTTAAGTTTTCTGGATTGGATTAAGGTTCTAGTGTAATGGTACGATTTCTATGTTAGGTTCTTTGTCAAGAGAATTCCTGTCACGTAGAGAGACTCATGATGGTATGGTTTCTTGGAGCTGGAGTCCTTATTTTAGTGTATCAGTTAGACCAAGATATGAGAGTTAGGGTCTCAAGATACGATGGGTGAACAAGACTATAGAACAAGAATGAGAGAGATGAATGACACGTCCTAAAGATGAATCATAAGTCTATTATTTGGTCAATATCTATTGAAAGTCGAAGGAAAATTCTTATTCCTTCAGGGGCCAGGATTCAAAACCTTCGGAACGAAATTTCAGAAATGCAATTATATCACCCAAATCCAAACTCCAAAGCCCCTAAGCCCTCAAGCCTGAAAGTCCCTCCCTTGCGCGAATTCCCCAACGTGATTTTCCGGCAGGGGAGGGGGGTGGGGGGTTGCCTGTGTGCACTTGGAGGAAGTGGTTTTCTGGGGAGGGGTCCAGTCTGCAATGATTTTCCGTAAATGACAATCTCTGGTTGCGGCGCGGCATTTATGAAGCTGTGGAGCTTCCGCACGCGTTGAAAGCCAAAGCTGCGCTCCTAGTGTGCTTGGCTGTCTGGCAAGTCATACGGGGATGACCATGATAATAAAGGGGGCTGCCAATTTGACCGCAAGTGTTGGAAGGACCCGACAAGAAACATCATTTTGTTCCTTATGTGATGTGCTGACTAAGGCCATGTGGATGACGCTCAAGAGTTCGAGGACAGCAAACAGTAGAAGTGAGTATGTCGCAGCGGCAAGTACTCGTCGTGTAATGTTATCGCTCTGCGCAGGATGGGAAGTTCGGGGTTGCACTCCATCGACTTCCAGTGTGGTTGTCTCAGCAAAGCGGTGAACACGTGTCAGCCGGTCGGGACTTTCATTCCAACGGCCTGCTGGAGACTCCCTGCGTGCAGTGGGCAAAGCTTTTCGCAGGGTTGGAATGATTCGGGGTTGACACCACCAATTCCTCCGGCCATTGTGGCTCAGGGGCATGTGTGGGCAAGGCATCGCCTCAGTTCACCCATGGGGCTTTGTTCCGTGTGGTAGTCGGTAGTCGTAGTATCCATGAATGCTGGTCCGAAGCGCCGGCCTCACTTCGCAATCCGCAAGGGCGATGTCTACAAAGCATGCTTGAAATGCAGCGTCATCAACCTCGCGCACCACTACCACGAGTGTCCCAAGAACGGCCGTAGGAGACGGCCAGGAAAGATGACGGGTCCAGGTTTTGCACAGCAGCAGACTCTTCTCCGCGGGTTGTTGCAGAGGTGCGGTGGTAAGACCATGAAAATAACATCCGTCGGTGCCGGGGAGACGGTGTTGGGCTATGCTGCTGCAGACCTCTTACAGCAGATCCAGGCAGAAAGGGTCGAGGAGGACGAGGAAGAGAAGGCGGCTCAGTAGGTGAACCACTAGAAGTTCTTGAGTTGTTTTCGGGCATTGTCATTGGCAGTGGAAGCTGCTCCTTCCATGTCTGCGAATCGCATAGGCCCAAAATGCCATGAAAGGAAGCTGCTACTTTAATCGTTTCATCCTAATACCCCTCCCCACTCCCCCCTACCCCCGGCAATGCAAAACAGCTGCTTTTCCGAAGCGGTCAGGAAACATAGGAAATGCAATTCTTCACACCAGAATAGACACAGGCTTTCTTTGTGTGCTGCTCCTTGACCATGGGCCCTGTTTCTGGCTATCCGCAAGGCAGGCATGCCACCCGCGATCCAGGCGGAGGCTGTCCCGTACGTCCCGTACATGGGTGATTGGTAGAACATGGTGAACACAAGGTGTTACCTTCTTGCTGCATGTCTTTGCAACGTGTCCTCTGTTTATTCTGAAGAAGGTTGGGGGGGAGAGGGGGCCCAGGGTGCAAGAGGAAGGGGGGGGGGTGGGCGAGGGGGGTGTCGTGAGACAACGGTAAGGCCGGCGTGAGAGAACAGTAAGGCTTCACTTTACACGCACCCCCGTCGGCAGATTGTAGGTGTGCCTAACCAGAAACAGGAGAGACGTCGACAACTTGCGGCAAAAGATCAGCAGCTGGAGGCTTCCAGCTTCCACAAATGCCCACATTGCCTCGTTCGTGCAGCCTGCAGATCTTTGGTGAGGAACTGCAGCAGGAATTACAAGCACAAGCAAGCGAGGCCTGTGCTGACACTTGGGTTCGACAGATTCGTACGTGGGGGAGTTGATCGCAGGAGTCCCGGTTGCGCCATGACAAGGAGTGTCCGGGGGAGCGGGCGTGTCTGTAGTATGACCGAACAGCTGTTAACTTAGACCTGCTTGACATGTTTTGGTGCAGACATCCAAAGTTCAACCAGCACTGCGCTTCAGGAGAAGGAAGCGCAGGAGCATCGCCGACAACTTGCAGAGAGAGATAAGCAGATGGAGGCCTTTGAACGCCACGCGCTGTGCCCACTTTCTACTCGGTGGCGTGTCGGTGCAATTTGTAGACCTGCTAGGCGCTGCAGCGAGCGCATGCTATGGAGGCCTGACGTGCTCGTGGCATTGACTTCGATGTGCTTTAACTTTGTCGCATCTCCCGACTGCTCAGTTCGGTGCAGGTTCAGGATCTGCAGAAGGGCTTCCGGCAATGGCGGCACAACAGAGAATCTGAGCAGGACTTGCAGCAAGCGCTGCTCCAAAGCATGAACGAGGATTTGCAGAAGCAGGTACATGATCTAAACTTGCGGGTCCAGGCAATTACAAAAACTTGCCTGATCTGCTGTGACGCAGACCCAGTCATGGCCTTTTTGCCGTGTGGCTGCGTCAGCCTCCGTAAGTCGTGCTGGGAGAAGGGATCCATTAAACAGGCAGGGTCTCTGAAATGCCTGTCATGCAGGCGCGACGTGGGCTTTGTAGTGCAGGTTAAAATTCGTGGCTATGGTGGCTGAAACGTTTCTTGCTCGAAACCCACCTGCGATCGGTGAGATACACATATCACACCATCGTCGAAGACCCTTGTTGTTTGACAGCAGGGGCAGGCGATGATAGTAGACGGTTCTAGACGGCGACGGTTCTAGACCGCTCTTGAAGAGATGGACAAAACTAATGCCGTGCTTGACTCTAGCCTGCGCCAGAGAACAGCTGTTAAGCCACGAAGCACTTGCTTGGCAGCTTTCACGCGGTTGTGTGTGTGTGTGTGTGTGTGTTCGTTCTTGTCAAGCGCTGAGATGTTGCAAGTGCGTGATGATAGTGCGAGCGAGGTCACTGCAGGATGACAGCTAGCGAATCCCCTACTTACGATGAGAGGACGCTTGGACTGCAAAGTTGCAGGTATAGCTGACCGACCCATTCAAAGCATTTGGTTGCTAGCCGGGACCGACGTGCCTTGACGTGCCACACGGTGGAAATGCAAGCAGCCAGAACTCCAGGCGCTGGTGCTATGACCAAGAAGAGAGTTCTTTTTGTATTCCGGGTCGAGGGTTGTGCACAGATGCAAGGCTGCGTGAGTGTTGAATATTGGAAAAACTGTAGAGTTTTTTCGCCCATGTAGAGTCCAGGACTCTTGGAGCCCCGCTCGGTTCCTGCACCTGCGAAATCATAGCCATAACACATGCGTGCACAGCTGCCATTCGAGGTAGAGTTGAAGCGTTGGTTCGACCCTGCAAAGAGGCCAACGACACAGGACTCTCGGATTTGTGATTTGAGGTGTGCTTCCGGTGCTGCCGCCAGTTTCCAGGTTCGGAGTTGATTCGGATGTTTGTGCTTGACTCAACGCCGTTGTTGACATTTTTCGTGGTTTCTTGAATCCGTCCAGCTTGTCAACAGTCAGGACCGTCCTCTCATCACTTTTTCGTCACTCTGGCTGTCGAGGTTATCAAGAGTTACTTTGCCAAATTCAGGGCGTTGATCTGGCGGGGTGTGTCTGAGGAGGTGTTTCAACATGTGTTCATTAAACTCGCCCGCGAGATTCCTGGTGGAAACCTCGCCATCTCAGGTGTCGTTCGATTCCTTCCTTCGCGAGAACTCCAGCCTCTCAAAAGGCGCCAGAGAAGGGCCACAGAAGCGTCAGATCATGTCGCGCTGTTCTTTGTTCCGTGTTACATACTGTGGCGAAGTACTGTTGAGGACATGGACCGACCGACCCTCATTGTTTAGCTTGCGACAGGGGCAGGGGGGGGCGGGGGCGGGGGCATGGTAGAGTCTGTGTCTGCTTGTTGTCTATTGTTCTACACTCCGCATCCTTGAATCTCTTACTGGCATTCTTCATCCTTTTCTTTATTCTCCTTCGCTTCTTGTTTCTTCTCGATCTTTAACCCTGAGCCCTATAAACCCTGCCTCTCCCAACTGGACAACCTCGGGAGCATCGCTCGGACGAGGGAATATTGGCTCTGCGAGTTTATGTCCTCGACGTTTGCTAATTTGGGCGAATCTTTTCCGAAGAAGAGCACCCCACTGAACACCCAAGAACAAAATGCACAAAGCATGAAGTTTTACATAATACAACCGACAAAATGTTTCTGTTTTTCGCTTCTGAGAGAGGCGGCCTCCAGCCGCATTTTTCCCCCCATTTTGCTCCTGGGTGAGTGCACATGAAGTGTGTTCCTAAAATACATCAGTTTTTTTTTTCCTGTTGTTCCTCTCTGTTTTTGCCCTTCCAGAAGAGTGCGCGCGCATCGAAGCACACCAAGACCGTCGCCACCGGTGGAGACATCGACGAAGCTTGGCAGCGCAGCAGTGAACAACTACTGCCCTAAGCCCTCAGCCCTTTGAACCGTCAGGGTTTCCTGTGGCTCTTGGTGTTCATGAGGCCAGCGTGGGTGTGTAGGGCCGAATTTGGTTGAAGATTTCGGACTTAAGTTTTGGCGTTCAGCGTCTTTAGTTTTGGGCTCCGGTTTATGGTTTAGGGTTGTATAACCCCTAGGCTAAGGCGCACAAAGCTCTGAACCCTTTGCAGACCCACAGGGCTCAAAATAGAGTACTTGGAGGTTCAGGGTACTGAGAACCCAATTTAACTGCACTTGTAAGCCCCCTAAGTCCCCCAAGTAGGTTATAAGTGGACATATAATTGGGGTTATAAGTAGCATGAACCTCCAAGTAGGAGAACCGTGTTGGGGATTCTCTACTTTCTATCTACGGGAACCCTAAACCCTAAACCTCAACCTCTAAACCCTAAACCCTAAACCCTAAACCCTAAACCCTAAACCCTAAACACCCTTCATCCTCCTTCTTCCTCCAAGGCCAGATCTACCTCTCCACTTTGCGGTCTGGTGCTGGGGTTCAAGGGTTTAGGGGCTTGAGGCTTTAAGAGTTAAAGGGTTCAAGGGTTTTGGGGTTTCATGGTGTAAGGGTTTTGGGGTTTAAGGGCTTAGGGGTCTAGAGGTTTGAGGGCTTAAGGGTTTGAGAGTTTCGGGGTTTGAGAGTTTAGGGGTTTAGGGGCTTATGGGTTAAAGGGTTTGAAGCTTTTTTAGGGTTACAGGGTTTAAGGGTTTGAGGGCATAAAAGTTTAAGGGTTAAAGGGTTTGAGAGTTTAGCGGGGGAGGACAACAGGGTTGGTGCAGCCCTGGCTAACTCAGCCCCCTTGATCAGGGAGTGCGAGAACAGGCAAACATGCGAGAAAAGGCAAACAAAGAGCCAACACCCCTCGGTGACAAAAGGAGTGCCTCACTCGCAGCATTGCAGTGAAAGGAGCGCCCCATTGCAAAGCATGAGAAGCCTGCTGCCATAGCAAGGGAAAAAAACGTCTAAGATGCGACACTGTCTTTTTACGCCCTAAGCGCCCTGAACCACTGGGTTCACTTCGGCGTGTGACTGCACTTGTTTGCCTTACGGTGTATCCACAACACCCCCGAAGCCTCTCCCGCAACGGAGTCCTGGCTGTTTTTTCCCCGGAAGTTCGGCAAGTCTTTGCTTGAGAAGTTCGATGCCGTCCGGCAAGGAGCGTGTCCAACTAGCAACCCCGTTTCTGCTTGAGAGGGGCGTCCAACTAGCAGCCCTCCAACTAGCAAACACCATAAACAACCTCCACTTCTGCCTCAGGAGCGTGTCCAACATGCAACCCCCATGTCTGCCTGAGGTAGAATTTTCAGGCAAGGAGCGTGTCCATAGCAACCCACAGGAGCGTGTCCAACTGGCAACCTGCATTTCTGGCCGAGGTAAATGTTTCAAGCAAGGAGAGCGTGTCAACTAGCAACCCCCATTTCTGCCTGACGAGCGTGTCCAACTAGCAACCCGCATTCCTGCCCGCTGTTTCGTAGATGCACCGGGTGAGCGATGCGAAGCAAAGGCATCGTTTTCCGAAGGTAGTGCTGGGGTTGGTCGCATTGAAGCATAGGTCGCATTGAAGCATAGCCCAAAGCTGATAGCAGGTGGACAGCACCATGCACAGCTCGAGTCGAGTACAGCAGACAGCCAACGATGTCAAGGTCATGCGCACGCCCCAATGGACCCAAGGGCGTCTAGAGCTCAATCAGGAGCATCATAAGGTCAAGGGCATAGGCATTGCTGTTCTCCATGGCGTTTTAGGCCCATCACAACAATGCAGATCCATTTGATGGGATGGCTCATTTGCTTCCTGCTGTGGCTGGCATGGGCTGATGGCCCCCCGAGTGCCGCGCCCACAACCACGACCTTGGCCTTCAGTGTCTTTGGTGTGGAAGAGGTTTGCAACCACTGTGAATGTCCTAACCCAGGCTGGCTGGGCAGTCAGTCAGTGGAGAGCTGTCGAGATGCGTGTGCATTAAAAAGCACACATTTCCAACATGCCAGCGGCAACAGATATGATGGGCAGCCAGGTGATAACAACTGTGCATGCTGTACATCAAGCCAGATCACATCTGGCGATTCTGGATGGGGCGTGAAAGTGTTTCGTGCAGACACAGCGGGCTACCGGCCATTTTGCGAGCTTTGTCGGTGCACCGAAGAGTGGGACAAAGATTGGCTGGGGACTCGTTCAATAAGTGAATGCGCCCAAACGTGCCAGGACGATGGCTTTTCTTACTTTCAGCACGCCAATGGCTTGAAACCAGATGGGTCAAGAGGTGACAACAACTGTGCGTGCTGCAGCAGGGGTTTAGCCCGCTCGGAACCCAATTGGGGCGTCAACGTCTACGAGTTACGTGAGTTGCCAGCAGCAGCGGACTACTGGCCATTTTGCGAGCTTTGTCGGTGCACCGAAGAGTGGGACAAAAATTGGCTGGGGAGTCGTTCAATAAGTGAATGCGCCCAAACGTGCCAGGACGATGGCTTTTCTTACTTTCAGCACGCCAATGGCTTGAAACCAGATGGGTCAAGAGGTGACAACAACTGTGCGTGCTGCAGCAGGGGTTTAGCCCGCTCGGAACCCAATTGGGGCGTCAACGTCTACGAGTTACGTGAGTTGCCAGCAGCAGCGGACTACCGGCCATTTTGCGAGCTTTGTCGGTGCACCGAAGAGTGGGACAAAAATTGGCTGGGGACTCGTTCAATAAGTGAATGCGCCCAAACGTGCCAGGACGATGGCTTTTCTTACTTTCAGCACGCCAATGGCTTGAAACCAGATGGGTCAAGAGGTGACAACAACTGTGCGTGCTGCAGCAGGGGTTTAGCCCGCTCGGAACCCAACTGGGGCGTCAACGTCTACGAGTTACATGAGTTGCCTCTCACAACAGAGGCCGCTCGGCATGACAAGCACGGTCACAAGATCCTTCCGTAAGATTGGCTTATCCATTGAAGGGACTGTTTGGATTTTTTTTTACTTTGGGGAGCCTCAATAAGGCCCTGTTCTCCTTGAGGAGTTATCCTGGAAGGAGTGCTTTGGAGGGTGCTCGAAGCTTCCTTTGCTAAGCCCCCTTTATGAACCTGTCCAATAACGCTCGCTATAGGCTTCCCAGATCCCAAGACAGGGCTCCCAAAGCCCCGAATCAATTCTAGGCATCCCCTGATTTAAAAAAAAATCCCCTCAGAGGGTCCG